AACATTTGGGGCCCGCGGGAGTCGCATACCTAACGGAGGTCCTCAACCTGTCAATGGCCACTCTCATCATTCCTGATGTGTGGAAATCAGGAAGACTGGTCCAACTGCTGAAACCGGGGAAGCCCGCCGACAAAGAAGTCTTATATCGCCCGATAACGCTCCTTTCCCCGGTCACGAAGACACTAGAGGCCCTGCTACACCCGTACTTCACCTACCACCTTGCCTAACGGTTCTAAATTATGCAGCACCAGTTTGGTCGCCGGGGACTAGTTGGACGCAGTGGACGAAGCTACAGACTTGTCAGGACGCCGCACTCCGGACAGCGACTGGGTGACTGATGTCACCTGAGCACCACCTACACGGCGAGACCAAACGGCTCCCAGTAAAAGAGCACTACAAAATGCTTTCCAAGCAGTTTCTGGTGGGCTGCCGCAGAAGTGAACACCTCAGCAGGCCACTGCTGGAGGAGGAGCCTCCGCCGAGGCACATCAAGAGGCACCTTTTCGTGTACAAGGACGCAGTCCAGAAATACGTAGGCCAAACACTGGACCCGACAACGTACAGGCGAGCGGTCAACGACATTCATAGGGAGTCGGTCACCTCCTTCCTCGACTCCCGACCTATGAATTCCGTGATCGGAGCCCAATCACAACTTATAGAAGAGACGCAGCTTCAACTGCCAAGAGAGACCCGCGTTACCCTGGCTCAGTTACGGCCTGGATATTGTAGCCGCCTCAATAGCTTCCTATCCAGACTCGACCCCAATATACTCAATGAGTGCCCGGAATTCGGAGACTCCCCGCCTGACACCAACCATCTCTTCACATGACAGCTCAATCCTACTCAACCCCACTCCCTTTGGTCCGACCCTATTGAAACAGCCCGTTTCCTGGGCCTACCGTTAGTTGAGCTTGACGACAATAATTGAAAGCTGAACTGAAATAGGCGGGGCTATTTTTGGTACACTTGTAGGGGCTTAGTTCTACCGCTACAACAACAACGATAAGGTAGGGGACGACGGTGATAATTGGTCACGATTAAGATTTAGATTGATATTAAGATAATAATAACGTTTTCAGATGTGCACTCTTCGTTCCATTTTCAAAACTGACTATGTTTAAAAAATTTAATTCAACTTGAATTACGGAAATTAGGTTATTGCAATATGTATCATTATATGGATGTCAGACGAAAGAGGTTTAAGAATGTTTTAGTTTGAAAATATTTAGAAGTGGGTTTCCACCTATTTGTAAAGTCGAATTAAATTAAATTATGCGCAAGTTATATGAAATATTAAAATATGGGTGTCGAACGTAAGAGTGGTAAGAAATCTTTAGTGTGCACATTTCGAATATTTTCGGGGTATTTTTTGATTAATCAGAATTATGATGAGCTTAGTCCCTTTTTTCTTTAACAACATGGTACTTCTTCTAAGGTGATAAACTGAAGACAAATGTGATAAAATGATAAATAAACCGGGTTTAGATGAATACCTCTAAGAACTTTCTTTGCTCTAACGACCAAAGATAACGAAAATTGTTTTTCTATTTTCACCGTAAAATTCACTGAGCATCAGTAAAATGTTTGCACATATACCAAGTATTCAAAAAGTAACCAATTTATTGTAAAAAATTACCAGCGAAGTATACGGGGGTATGTGTTACAAATGAAAAATGGTAAAATTTTTTTTATTTTTTACTTGTTTATTTAAAAACATCAGCTCAACATAAAAACTAGTCACAATTTAACAATAGTGTATTACTGTTCGATGTAGCCGGGAGTGCTGCTCATGCCGAACGAATGTGAACTCGCGTGAAAGGATTTTAAACGATGCCCGAGAACAAATTCGGTAAAAACCCATTGGAAGTTTCAATAAGATTCCAAGCTTTATCTCTTCGCAACAATGCTACCATATTTACCGGACTTAAACCCAATAGACTTTTTTCCCTGTGGTCCATTATCGAGGCCAAAGTATCAACCCGTTGAAGATTGCTTTTCGCCGCCACTGGGGCAAAATACCACCAGACCACATTTGTGCAGCCTGTGAAGCATTCACGGACTCGATGCTATTATCAATCTAATAAAATAGATAAAACTAAAGTTCGTTTTTGTTTGTTGTTTCCAAAGGCTGGGTGTATGATATATTGTCGAGAATGAAAAATGACACAGAAGATGCCCCAACGCCAAACCAAATTTGACAAGAGATGACGCAAATTCGTGCCAAAATACATCATAAAACTATATCATTTTTAAGTGGTAACTCTTCGAGCTTCAAGTAGTTGTGGCAGCGATGAATATTTTTTTTAATCTCAATATGGTCGGTTATTTATCAAGAAAGTATGGTTTAAAACAAGATTAATAAGAGTTCCTTGCGATCTTACCAGCGTCTCAGCCAAAAGTTTTTACATGCTGCATTTTGGCCCATGTGGCCCATGATTCTATCTGCATTAGTATGCTTTTCAATCCCTCAGTTTAATTCAAGCGAAACCAATTATCTGCTTCGCAAAAGCTACATATGTC